TGCTAAGCTTGTTCTAAGTAGGTGCTTTAGACCACTGAGCCATCTCCCCAGCCCCGAACTCAGAACTTTTACACCAAGTTGTTTGCTTAGCCCAGCTCCCCACCCTTTAAAATGAGAGATGGAGTCTCCCTAGGTTTTCCAGGCTGGGCTTGGACTTCCAGTCCTCCCGCCTCAGCCTCCCAGAGTGCTGGGATTACAGGTTGTGCTACTACACCCAGCTTGGAGTTCTTTTTCTCATCGGATTAATCTGTTGGGCTTGTCTCCCCTTCATGATGGCGATGGCGTTTTCAGGGCCAAAGAGTGGAGCAATGGCAAAGATCTCCACAGGAATGAGCTAGCCATAGTGCCTGCCCTCAGTGAGCCCGCCTGCCAAATTATCCCCTTCCTCTTGCTGGAATCCTGGGTGACCCCTACTTTTTTCTGAGGGTGTAGAATTGGGGGAGGTGGGCAGAATGACCCAAGGAGGGAGCTCAAGGGCTCACGTGAGCTGAATAACATAGGCCCACTGAATTTGTGGATAAGTTGATTCCTTCCTAGGTCTGGGCTGTGGTTTCCCTCTTAAAACTACACTCAGCGGTATGTCAGGCATTAAGCTTGGCCCTAGGCGAACTAGACAAGTGCAGACTCGGGAGCATAACCTTTGCCCTCAAGGAACTGGGAGTAACTGCAGAAGCTGGCCCGCAATTAGGCAATGCATTAGGAGAGAGGTGCTCTAACTAGGCAACGCATTAGGAGTGAGGTGCACACAGAGCAGCTTCTGGTGGAACAGAAGGTACACAGTTCAACAGCTGCGATGGGATGAGAGGGCAGCAGAAATCACGATGTTGACAGTGGAGCTGATTCCTAGAGAAGAAGATGCAAGTCAGCAAACAGGTCACCAGGTAGCAGGAACAGCCTTGCGCAGGCTTTTGAGAATGAAGGACTCCGAGGCCAGGAACCACAGACTGTTTGGGACACCTGGGAGGCCGGCGACATTGTATGGAGACGGAGCTGGGGAGGCAGGCTTGCTTCATCACACGGAGGCCCGGAGAGCAGCCGGGCAGCTGGACTTCACCCAGGAGTCCTGGGAGCCAGCGAGGGCCAAAGTAGGACAGTCATAGGATTCTTATTTGCATTTTAGATGGACGCTTTTTTGCAGGGCTCTGGAGTGGGATTGAGAAAAGTGGCAAATGCTGAGGCCAGTTAGGAGGCTGCTGTAGTTCAGGAGAGCGGTAACGAGCCCCGGAGAAGGGAGTGACAGTGGACGGGCAGCAGGGACACACATTTGAGACATTTTTTTGAAGTGGAATTGACAGGCCCTGAAAATCAATTGCATAGAGAAAGAGTAGCAGAGGGAAAAGTCCGTTCAATTCAATAAACATCTGAGAGCAGCTGCCGGGTAGGAGCGAGGCAGCCGATGCTCACCATCTAGTGGGTGATTTGAAAGTAACATGAGCAGCTAATGCGTGCTAAGTGCTCGGCTAGCCTGAGTGCTTGGATTCACTTCTGCAGGTGCAGCTGGCCACCAGTCACAAATATGTGGGAAAAATTGCATCTGTATTGAACATGGATAGATTTTTCCTTTGTCAGTATTTCCTACACAATGCAGTGAAACAACCGTTCACATTTCATTTACATTGTCTCAGCTACTGAGAGGTGATTTAAAGATACGGGTGATCAGGCTATCCTGGGACCAGCCCCCAGCTACCCAGGGATGGCTGTCTGGAGCTCCCTGGCTCCCAGCTCTCAGGGCTTTCCCATCAACCCTCACCTATGACTCCCACACCCATTTTCTAGATGAGGACACTGAGGCTCGGAAAGGCCCATACTCTCTGCCCCTGGCTTTGCTGACACTGGTTCCATGTTTGCCAGCACGATGAAGGGCACCAGGACCTTCCGGCAGAGTTGCCTTAGCTTCTGCCTGGATGGCGGGGTGGATTCTGAGGCATCAAGGGAAGCAGCAGGCTTGGTGCCCGCAGAGAAGCTCTGAATCGCTTGGGGGGCTGGTGGGCACCACAGGCCCCAAAGAGGAGCTTGCGCCTTTCAGACACTTACATGCAGCTGGGGTGCGGGATTGTGTGTGGCGCACGTCAGGGCCATTGGAGCATGTGTCCTCGCCCTACTGGGTGGCCGAGCTCTCTGAAGGCTGTGCCTGTGTCTTAGCCATGTTGAGTCTCCAGCTTACCAAACACAACGCTTCAAGCACATGCCTGAACATACTGGGGCTGGTACGGTCACCTGGCCTGCTGGAGGGCAGAGCAGGCGCCTCCTGGCTACAGCTCTGCCTATTCCCAGTACTGAGGGATCGGAGAAGCCTCTGGTCCCAGGACCTTCTGGACAGGAAAGCACCTTACCATCAGCTGCTTGATGGTGGAGTGATCTTCAGCCTCCCGACCCGAGGCAGGCTCCTTGTGGACAATCTCCACTCGGATGTCATTTTTGGCTGACACAACACCTTTGAGATCTGGACATAAAATTGAAAAGTGCAGGCCACAAATTCAGTTCTCAGTGTGAGGAAGGAAGGGTTGAGATGTCATGTTTCCCCACTGCTGCCCCTCACCCCAGCACCCCAGGAGTGACCCTCCCTTCAGCCCCTGAACCCAGCAGCTTCCCCAGCCCCCACCCTTGGACCACAGGGATGCAGTGCTGTGGGCTGTGTGGCCCTGGTCACAGGCACCTCTGTGTCCCCTTGGTGGAGAGGGTGTCCTCATCCAGTTGTCCACATTACAAGGACCACATTATGTTATGCTGCTGTCTCCTCACTTCCTTTTGGAAGTCTTCCCTGCTAGGTTCTGTCTCCATTCACAGAATCACAAATCCAAGTGTTGAAAAAGACCTTAGGCCCTGTGCCCCCACCCCCAGGCGCAAGCACACACACTGGGATCCAGCTTTGGTGCTCCCGTGGTACAAGCCCGGCATGTTTATTTTTATATTTTTTTAATGTACTTGGTACAGGGTCTCACTAGGCAGCTCCGACTCCTAGTGATCCTCTTGTTTTCAGCCTCCCCAGGGCTGGGATTACAGGCATGTGCCATCTTGTTGGGTCTCCTCAGCTCAGTGCATCTGGGGGGCAGGGGCATGGGTGGGGTTGGGGCCTGCACAGGGTGGGGGGGTGTGAGAGGAGCGTGAGGGGAGGTGGAGGATCGAACCCCATCCCTGCGCTTGCCTACACAGGCGCTTAGTTCGCTGAGCTATCTCACCGGCCCAAGCCTTGCACCTTCTAAGGAGGCAGCTGTTTCTACCTGAAGAGCTACCCTGGGAAATGCTGCAATATGCTCCTCAGGAATTTCCATTGAAAGGCTTGGAAGGAGCGTCCCAAGGCCATGTCCTGAGAGGTGGTCATGGTGGTCAAAGCTACTTGGCTGTGAGTGGAAAGTGTGTGAGGAGAGGGGAACCTCCTAGCAACGTGGGGAGGCTGCCAGGTGGTCCAGGTAGCAGACTTGTGTTCATTTGGTGTTTTCTGTTCAGAGAAGTTCAGCTGCAGGAACTCATACCAGTCACTGCATCCAACCCCCTAGCATGCAGCTGGCCAAGCACGATGGTGCAGGCCTGTAACTGCGGCACTCTAGGGGGATGAGGCAGGAGGACTGCAATTTTTAAAAATTAATTTTATCAGTACATTTTTGACATAGGATTGCAATTTGGGGCAATTTGGTAACTTAATGAGTGCCTGTTTCAAAATAAAAAAAATTAAAAGTCCTGAGGTTATAGCTCCATGTGAAGGCTCTGGGTTCCATCACCAGTAAAACACACACACACACACACACACACACACACACACACACACACACACCACCTCCACCAACCCCACACGTGTGTGTTCTCATACACAAAACAGGCCTGGGATAAATGTGCCTGCTCAGGGTCACACGGTGGAAGAGGCAGGGCTAGCAGGCTGCCCCTCCACTCTCTCCTCCTCTGCCTTCCTGTCTTCCCCTGCACCTGTCTGTCCACCCCATGTCACTTCAGAGCTGAGCGCCATCCGCCACCCTGAGGCTCTGATCGCACACCTCCAGAATGTACAAGTACTACGTTTTACTTGCTAATGACGAAAGCCTTGAAAATTGTGCTCACGCCATTCCTTGCATGTTTTCTGTCCCCTCGTCCTTTTCGGGTGAACTGCTTTTCAGTTGCTCAAGCAGTCTCCGTAGGGTAAAGGGCCAAGCCATCTCCCTTCCCCCATCCCTACGTGTCCCCCCGCAGTCCCCACTGAGGATGCTCTGTGTCCTACCCGGAGCACCTGCTGCAAGAAGGGCCCCTCGGGCCCAGCCCAGCCTCGGCTGAGCACCTGCTTGGCACCAGATGCCCGCACGCCCTGCGTGTAAGGCCGCGCGCGTCAGCCCCAGCCCTGCCCCAGCAGCTCACCGCACAGGGCCCTGCTCATCACACTGCTGCTTACTTGCTCTCCGGGGCAGTCTAAGCCTGGCCTTTCTCTCTGTCCCCCTCCCTGAGATCCCGGGTCTCCCTCCCGTACTTCTCTGGGACCGGGCACAGCAGAAGGCCACGATGGTTGCCATGAGCACGAGGAAGGCCACGCCAGCTCCCACGGCCACCCCAATGATGACGGCCATCGGCACGGACTCTGTGGGAGAGAACCGACACAGCTGATGAGTGCTGGGAGAGAGCCCACTGCCCCGCAAAACCTCAGTGCCCTCGAGTGCAGCCTCTGCCACGTGGGCCCCTTTTGGGAAATGTGTCATTGGGGACCTAGGCAGGCATGGGCAGAATCCGACAGGGCCCAGCTCTAGTTGGGACTGGAAAGACAGGTGGGGGATATGGGGAAGAGGAGAGGGCGGGGAGGAATGTGGGGAGAGGGCGGGAGCTGGAGCAGACAGAAGGGAGGGCCGGGAGAGGAACGCTGGGACACAGGGCGAAGCTGTGTAATTTTGTGTTCTGACATTATATAAACAATCTTTCCTGTGGTGGCTGCCAAGTCACAAGTCCTGCCTTGTCACTAAGAAATGGCAGTGGTCACTGCCCTCATCTCTTGCCTACTCGTTTCCTTCCCTTTCCTAGGTGCACACGGGGTGTTGTGGACCCTCCGCTTTTAGACCGCTGAGGTCCGAGATAGCTTCCTCTTGGCGCCTGCTGATGACATTGTCTCTGGGGCCAGGCGGGCAGGATTACAGACTCCCTGGCTCTGTCTCTAAGGAGAGACATGCCCTTTCTCCTTGACCTCTGGTCCTGCCCCTTCTCCGCCAGGCCTCTGAGCAGCTGGGACCTGTCGGGGATGAGAGGACTTCTGAATAGCCTCCATCCTCGAGCTGTGTTTCTGCAGTCTGTCTCCTGCCCCGGCTGAGTGGAGGTGGGGGTAGAGAGGGTGAAGACGGGTGAGGGCTGCTTCTTCAGAAAGCCCTGGTCCTTTCATGGCTGCATATAAGGCCTGAGCATATGATTTGGGGCCTGAATCCAAGCCCCCCCCTTAAGATGTATTTAGCACAGGGTCTCCAGGGTCTTACTACACAGATCAACCTCATAGTGATCCTCTCGTTTTCAGCTTCCCCAGCGCTGGGATTACAGGCACCCATGCGTGTCCCTGTATCCAGTCTCACTTACTGTCTCCCTGCACCCTGGGAGCGGGGCTGGCAGGGCACGCTGGGGACCAAACCCAGTCCCCGCACCTGCCTAAGCAGGCACTTTAGTCCGCTGAGCTATCTGGCCGGCTCTTATTTGTTTGTTTTAAGTACAGGGTCTTGCTGGGCAGTTCACAGCGATCTTGCTGTCTCATCCTCCCCAGTGCTGTGATGATAGCCATGTGCCACCATCCCCCAGGGCTTCAGGGCTGGCACAGCATGTAGTATTGGGGATCCAACTGGAACCTTAGGCTTGCCAGGCAGGTGCTTACGCCGCCAAGCTAGCTATCTCCCCTGTGGGGAGCCGTTAACTGGTATCCATTTTATAATAGTGTCAGCCATTTTCTTAAGTTTCTATTTGCCTGCTGAGTTAAGTTTCTGCTCCTTCCCGCCTTGCCCATTCCCGTGAATCTCATGCTATGCCCCAGGGGTGGGACCTTCCTCCATTGCCTAGACGTCAAGAGCCGAGACTTCTTCATTCCTACACTCCCTTTATATACCCAGCACCTCCCCGGAATAAACAAGACTTGATCAGAACTTGTCTTGTCTCCATTTCTTGTGTCTCCTGTCCCTTCTCATCCCCACTCCCTCTCTAGGGTCCTCATTGACTAACCCGTGGGTCGGGACACTCCCCTGCCAAGCTTCTTGTTTTTATGGAGAGGTCCATAGAAGCCAAATGACTTGATCAAGGACACATGGCTGCCTGAAATCTCAGCACTCTGGGAGGCTGAGGTAGAAGGATTGCAAGGTTGAGGCCATCTTGGGCAGCCCAGTGAGATTGTGAGTGATTTTTTTTAATTTTTTATTTTATTTTATTAATTTTTTTTTTTTTTTTTTGCTAAAAATCTTTATTTATTTGGTACATAGCATGCGGTGCTGGGGATCAAACCCAGGTCCTTGTGCTTGCCAGGCAGGTGCTTAGACCACCATGCTATCTCCCCAGCCCCAAGAGATTGTGAGTGATTGTTGAGTGAAAAAGAGAGAGAAAGAAAGAAGAAGAAAAACAGATTGGAAATGTAGATAAGTACGGAGGCCCTGGATTTAATCCCCAGCCCTGGACGGAAAAAAGACAAGGCACACACAGCTGGGGTGGGCCAGGGTAGTTCCAGATGGCCTCTTCCTCCCCCATGGCATCTGGCTCCGTCCACTGTATTCTATGGTAGCCTCCAAGTCACTTCTGTTAGCCCAGACTCTTGCCTGTCTGACTCCTGGCCCTGCCACTCCACCTCTCTTATCTGGGAAGTGGAAGTAACCTCAGAAGGTGTTATGGGGCTCAGATGAATGAAGCAGATAAGGGCCTTGGCACAGAGCCTGGTACCAGCCGATTGGAGTGTTTGCTCCTGTTATTGTACAGGAAGGGGGCAACATGGCAGAAGCACATCTTCAGGGAGAAGGAAGCTCCTCTGAAACCACAAGCTTGCTCCCCACCCAAATCCATTCATGCTGCAGGACCATCGGGTAATCTGTTCTGGTGCTTGGATGAGACTGGACTTACTGCTCTTTTCTTTAAAGAGCAGAAAAGAAGCCAAAGTCTGAAACCCTGGCTCCTGGGGTGCTGCTGGGAAGAGGCAGCAGGAGGTGGGAGGCACAGAGCAGGCAGAGCCGGTGCCTTTCATTGGCAGCATTCGGTTAATGCTGCTCTATTCTTGTGCTGCTCAAAGCCTTTTTTACTTATTATTATTATTATTATTATTATTTTAAGTTTCAGGGTCTCACTATGCAGCTCAGATTCACAGTGATCCTCCTGTTTTCAGCCTCCCCAGTGCTGGGATTACAGGCATGCTCCACCACAGCCTGTGGTATAGGCCTTTTACCTGTTTTTAAAATTTTTATTTATTTATGTATTTATTTGGTATAGGGTCTTGCTACTCAGCTTGAACTTGTAGTGATCTTCCTGTCTCATATAATCCTCTATAATCCTCTCCAGCACTAGGATTATAGGCAAGTGCCACCATACCTGGTTTTGGTGGCCAGCTCAGTGTGGTACCAGGGACTGGACCTGAGTCCCTGTGCTTGCCAGGCCAGTGCTTAGATCGCCAAGCTATCTCCTCAGCCCTCTTTTTTACCTATTTATTGATAGCCGTGGTCACTGCAGAGGCAACTGAGAAGGTGACCAGAGGAAGTGGGAATGGCAGACACTCAAGATTGCAGTGGTGCAGGGATCAGGACCTTGTGCTTGCCAGGCAAGCACTTATTCCACTGAGCTATCACCCTGGCGGTCTCTCCCGTCTGCATGGAAAGGATGGACATGCCCTCGGCTGTGCTGGCTCGGGCAAACTTGCTTCTGTCTTTAGGTTTGAATTCCATCAGGAAAGGGAGTTCTTTGGGAGCTCACAGGTCTACACCTTTGGATTTTATGAACTTGGGTTTGGTTTAGTTTCAGATTCCCGACAGATTTCCTCGGAGAAGCTCAGGGCTTGTCTTGGCTGAACTCGGAGCCAACATGATTGTTCCTGAATGTTCCCAGGCAGCACTGTTAATGAAGGCAAGGGAAACTCCCACCCCTAGGGCCGGGGAGCGCTGAGGGGCTGATCCAGGCTGCATGTGGGCCCCCCTGAGAGCTCATTAAGAGGGGAGCATGGGCCGGATAAGAGTGGTGAGCAGGAGAGGCGCTGGCTCCGTGGAATCTGATTTGCGCTCTGGTGTTCTGCTTGGGGTGGGACTAGGTGACCGCTTTGCAGCAGGCAGGGACAGGCGGGGCACTGCCTGGCCACCTCGATGGGGAGATGGTGGGGACGGAGGGGCAGCAAGGAGCAGCAAGCATGGGGGAGGCAGGCCAGCAGGGCCCGAGGCAGGCAGCAGCAGGGTCTGGAAGCAATGTGGAGCTGGCGATGAGGAGCAGAAGAGGCGGGGCGAGCCTGGAGGGAGACACGGCCAGGACGGGCGGGAGGTGGGGCGTCTGAAGAGAAGGGATGAGGAACGGAGAGGACAGGAGCAAGAGCCAGTGTCCTGGCAAGCCCCGGGCCATCGGAGCACGGGAGCCAGGTCTCTGGGGTCCCCAGACCCCTGCCGGCTGGAGGCCCCTCCCTCGCTTAGCTGCACTAAACCTGGGCCTGGGGGTGGGCCAGGAGCTAGCGGTCTGCGCCTCCTTCCCTGGCCACCCCCAACTAGCCAGGAAGTCCCGCCCCCCGCCCAGGGCGGTTCTCAAGGCCTCCTTTCGTACCTGCTTCCAGCCCGGCTCCCGACTTCATTTCCGAACCTGTTTAGAAATAAAGCAAGCGTCCACAGCCGGAGCCTGGCTGGCCAGGGCAGGGCGGGATGGGGATCGGCTATCTGTAGGGGCTGGGGACAGACAGTCCTGCCTCTCGGACTGCTCCACAGACCCTGGTTAGCCCAGCTGAATTTGGGGTTTATTCTGACTAAGAGACCCCAGAGTGGATGGGGAGGGACAGAAGTCAAGTCTGGGAGGGAGGTTGGGGGGTGGGTGTGAACACCAAGGGGAGGGCGCAGGGTGGGGGCACTGAGGGGAAGACAGGAGGGTAAGCAACAGGGGCCAGGAGGGTTTGGATGAAGTGTGAATGGTATTAGGCAAATTATGTGCAAAGCGTTATGCAAAGCGGCTCCTGTCAGGGAAGAGCTGTTAGGAGACCCATTGGCAGGATCACTGTATGACCCAAGGGGCTTGGCTGGGTCCCCCTGCTTGGCCCAGAAGCTGGTCCAAAGGCCCAGGCCGGCCCGGCCCATCCCTGCTCCCGTGGGGCTGAGTCCTGGCTGGCCCAGCGGCAGCGTCCACAGTCCATTTCAAGACCTAGGGTGCTGCTGGCTGCTGGGGAGCTTTTCTGGGACCATCTCTTGGTGTCTCTCAGCAGCTCCCTGAAGGGTAGTCTGTCCAGAGAGTTCTGAGCAGACACTGGGTCTCGGCAGCTGTCCGACCAGGAGCTGGGGTAGCTGGCGCGCTTGGTGAGCCTTCCTTCTCTCTCTCAAGTGCGGCTGCTCTGTGCCCTTCTGCCCAGAGCTGCCCTTCTGCTAGGTGTCTCCTTAGAGCTAGCTCAGTGGCCCATGGACTGCGGATGGTCTGGGCCTGCCAGCCACACTCCCACAGGGACTGGTGCACACTATGCCTTAGCTTTAGCTCGGGTGCCCTCCGCAGGACTTGTGGCTAACTGGATGGGCTTATTCTCATGCGGCCTGGGCCTGGCCCCCAACACATCCACTGTTATTGCACCCCCTAAAGACACTGGGGCACTGGCCCAGGATGGGGTGTTTGGGAGCCAGGGCCTTCTTAGGTGGTCAGGCACCTTAGCAAGGTGATTGGCCCAGCACCCGCTGGCCACCACTCTGTGCAGTGGGGTGAAACTTTATTCCCTTCCTACTCCCTGGTGGAAGCCAGTGCCCCTTCCTCAGAGAGGCAGACGGAGGGAGTGTGGCAGGTAGGGAAGAGCCCTGTGGCTTGTCCTGGGAGCTTCCCCAGCCCCTGGCCCTGACCTTGCTCCTTGAGCCGGATGATCTCAGTGTCAGAGCCGAAGCTGTTCCAAGCTGTGCAGTTGTAAATGGTCTGGAAGTCAGCCCGCACGATGCTGCTGATGGTCAGGGTGGAGATGACGCCCTCCTCCGTGCTGACTGTCTCTACCGTGTAGCGCCCTGATGTGCCCGACTCCAGCACGTTCTCCTTCCAGGACCAGGCCTGCAGAGTGCGCAGAGTTAGCAGCAGACACCACGAGAGCCGCATAGCAGGGCCCTGGCCATCTCCCTGGCTGTGCCGCCGACCCAGGAAGGCTGCCTTCACTGCCATCATCACCCACTTGCGTACACGGAGGGGCTTGCACCCCCACAGACCACAGGCATGAACACAAGTGAACAGACATCACCCATGAACCTATCTATCTTTATTTACAGAGCAGCGTGCAGTTATTTTTTGCAGTACTAGGGACTGAACTCAGGGCTGCAGGCAGGCCAGCCAAGTGCTCTACCACTGAGTTATACTCTCAGCACCTTTAATTTTCAGACAGAGTCTAAGTGATCCAGGCTGGGCTTGATCTTGTAATACTCCTGCCTCAGCCTCCTTCATAGCTGGGACTTCAGGTGTGTGCAGCCATGCCTGGCTAGTTTGTTTTCAGAGTCATTCCATGAACACTGTGCATGTCACTGTAGCCCCTTGGATGTCCTGGAAGCTGGCCAGGCAGGTGTGAGCCTGTAGGCACTGGGTGAGAATGGCGTGGGGCTTCTTGTGCTCTGGGCCAGGGCCTCCCTGGAGGTCTGCCGCACTCCTGGCTTCCTTGTGCGAGCTGCCAGCAGCACCCTGCAAGCTGTGACAACCAGGAGGCTCTCCAGGCACCACCCAGTGACCCCTGTGCACAGAAGGGCCCCAACTGGGAACCACTACCTTAGGGTTACCTATCCAGGAAGAGAAATGCAGTGTGAACCTGCTCAAGAGTGAGTAGAGTATTTTATGATGGGCATGTCTTATATTTATGATTTTTAAAAAAATCAAACAGTGAAGTGGATGGGGGTATTAGTTGCATATACAATTTTTTTGTTTTGGGGGCTGGTGTGGCACGCTGGGAATCGAACCTCAGCCACAGCGCTCTGCCTAAGCAGGCCCTTTAGTCCACTAAACTATCAGGCTGACCCTTTTTTTTTAAATTTAAATTTAAATTTTAAAAAAATGTATTTGGTAGTCTCTCTACACAGCTTGGGCTTATAGTGATCCTCCTGTTTTCAGCCTCCCCAGTGCTGAGATTCCAGGTGTGCACCATCAGGCCAGGTCTCAGTGGCTGGCTTAGTGTGGGTGGGGAGGGGAAGGGCGGTGGGTGCAGTGTGTGGTGTGGGGGATCGAGCCCTGGTCTCTGCACTTACTTGCCTAAGTAGGTGCTTAGTCTGCTGAGCTATCTCACCGGCTGTATGTGCAATTCTTGCAGTGTGGCCGGCACCTCACTTCCTGTGCCTGGCCCACTTACCCTCTGGGCACTTCTGCCCTGCAAAGCCTGCGGTCTTGATTGACCCCTGGGCACTGGGGCTTACTGTTCCCAAAACTGCTACAAAACATTTGTGTTTCTGTTTTCACACTGAGCTTCTGACAGCTGTAGGTGGATTTTAGTATAAGACCCGCCCTTTAAAAAATGCACACACCAAGGGGCCAGGGTGAAATGTACTGTGCAGGAAGGAAGCTGTGCTACTCTGCAGGGAGGGATACGAGCTTGGGTGGTTGTCTCTGAAGTGAGCCTGTGTGGTAAAAGGGAGTCCCCACATTTCACTGACCTTCTCAGACCAAAAAGCTACAACTCTTGTTGCATAGGTCCTGCTTTACCTTGCTCTTAACCATCCAGTAGAAAAGTATGAAGACGAAATATAGGAAATAAAGCCATGCTGTTATGTTGAGCTGTGGGGGACTCAGGTCAATAATTTCTGACATTGCCAGTTAAACAGAAGACCCAATGCTATTATGGGCTACTGGACTCTTTTAGAATATTTTGCTGAGTTTACACACCTATAATATTCAATAATGGAACTTAGAAAAAATGGGGTATACAGATGAATGTCCATTTTGTATCTGTGTATTCAAAGTGGTTAGGATAGATATATAGTTGCATTCTCTTAATGAATAGAATGATTTGTTCTAATGGTGTTTGTAAATAGGATCACAAGTCCGCATCTTGTACAGCAATTAACCACTAAGAAGAATATATGCAGTGTATTATTTATTGAAACTGTACTTCCGATTGGACTTGAAACTGACTCATTGCTATCTGTTTATCAATAAAACATTGAAAAAAAATAAATAAAATAAAAAAAATTAAAAAAGGGAGTCCCCAGACTTAGGAGGACCATGGGAAGTACAGGCAGGAGTTGCCAGCTATAAACTGTACATGCTTTATGATTTTACCAGGGTGCCCTTGAACCCAGGAAAGGGAAGAAATGTTCTTTTCCCTCTTGCTTGCTCTCTGGCTGTAGGATACAGAATTCACTTAGAACCGTTGACATTATAGCTCAGCCTGTTCCCAGAAAGGAAGCTGCCTGTGATTTTTGCCTTCAGGGTGCATTCTTAGGGAACAGAGCTGGTGTGCTTTTCCTCATGGAGGGACAGGAGTCCTGGCTACTGGCTGTGGTGACCCCTGGGCACTGGGGATACCCCCCACAGTACTCACGATGCGGTCCGGAGGTGGTGTGCTCCGGATGAAGCACTTGATCTGGCCTTTTTCACCATGGAGGGCGTGCTGCGTCTGGGTGCTGGAGATGATGGGGGGCCCTGTTGGCAAGGCGGCAACATATTAGCGACCCAGGGAGCGCCGGTCCCTAGCTGGCTGGCCCCTCTTTGGTGGGCTAAGAAACGGATTCATTGATCCAAGCACTCAGCAAACATTTACAGAAGACCTGAGTGTGCAAGTCAGAGCACGAGGTAGGGGACTTGAAGCTAGATTAGGCATTCGGTTGTAAAGCTCCCAGGGGTTGGATCATGAGTGAATGCCTTCGGAGTTAGAATCCCCGAAGACATAAATGACTGCAATAAAAGGTGGTGAGCATTCATACCATCGAAGCAGTGCAGATAAAGTGCTAGCTGACTTCAGAGGAGAGAATAATTCTATGTGGCGGACAGCGAGTTTTACGAAGGAGGTGGTGAGTCAGGGAAGGCACAGGGGTAGGTGTCAGGATGAAGGAAGACAGAACTAAGGAACGTCACCGACCCGCCTTGGCCCGCTGTTGGAGCGCTGACCATGTAGCAGATGTCCAGTAGAGGGCGCCCTTGCCCAACAAACCGGGTGTCCTCTGTCCCACCAAGGCAGAAGGAAGAAAAACAGGCACTGATCTGCTACCAAGGGGAAGTCACCCGGGTAGGTGGGTGTGCTGGCCGTGTCCATGGCCTCACTCCCACCCAGGTCTCAAGAGAGCCTGTCCTTCATTATTTCATCTGTTGCTACATATATACGCAGACAGATGGCCCAGGTGCAAGCGCAGCTCCCAGACTGGCCTTGATACTAGACATTTCCCCATCCCATCTGTGTGCATGGGGCCGGGTATGGACGACAGGTGCTAGCGTCACTGGCCACATGGGGCAGCCTGTCCTTTGGCATTTCCTCTAAATTCTGCCCATCCTGCAACCTGGGGTTCTCCCGGCAGTAAAAGGGGAAAGGAGAAGGAGCTCAGCTAACTCCCTGGCTCCTGAGGGTAGAGTCGGGTTGGAAATCCCCATTTGGGGTTGAAGAGGTGGCTTAGTAGAATAAGCGCTTGCCTGGCAAGTCAAGGGCTGGAGTTCAATCCCTGGTTCCGCAAAAAAGAAGAAGAAGAAGAAGAAATCCCCGTCTCCTTCCCATCCCTAATGTGATGAGTGGGCCTTTTAGATAGCAGAACATGGAGGAAGGAAAGCTGAGAGGAACAGATCTGGAGATCATGCAGAATTATGCTGGGGAACAAAACAAAAATTGCTGCAAACCTAATTGCTGTTTATTAGCCACCTTAATTAAAGCAGATTTGCATTTCTATGAGTAGCTCTCAGCCAAGGGGAAAAAAGGTACTGAACAATGAGGATGAAGCTTCTATGGAGTCCCAGATGCAAATGTCTCTCGGGACTGGGGCTGCAGACTCAGGAACCCTAGGGCTGGTCAGTTGGGCTTCCACTGCAGAGGACTTTAAGAGGGGCTGAGCCCTGCTTTCCTCCTTTCAATCCAAACTCAGAGAGGCCTTTGGCCCAAAGAGGCTGTGTGTTTGGAACCCAAGTGCTGCTGAATGTTTTGTTTAGCTGCTGAGCTACACAGGGATGCCACAGCCCTGGAACTGGGGATTCCCGAAGGGCTCTCAGGATTCTGAACGCGAGCGATGGGCAGAGGTGGTGGGCAGAACCACGTGTGTTTATGGAGGAGAGTCAGTCAGCCAGCAGCAGTTCATCTTTTCCTCCCTGTAGATACCAGGTCTGAGCCAGCTCAGCTGAGCTCTGTGCCAGCTCGTTCCCCAGAGGCCCCTGGCTGGCAGGTGTCTGTAGGCGGCGATGGTGTGGTGAGGGCTGGTCTCAGTCTAGCCACTTTCACATCAGATGCCTTCAGTCCGGGCCAGGACCCCGCCAGCCTGCGTCACTGCCCCCTACCTATTCTCAGGGTTGGGGACAGATCAGAGCCCCCTCCCTGTTGGGTGGGGACTGGCAGTCTCGTCAGCCTGGGCCACTACACCTAGGGCCCAGCTTGGCACTAGGTCCATAGTTGTAGGTGGGCCAGGTGTCTACTCCCAGCCATCAGGGTTCTGGTCTGACAGGGAGCTCCTGCAGTAAGGGCTGGAGGGCAACTCAAACCATGGGAAGACCCCAGGTCACTCTGCTGAGCCTAGTCCAAGAGAAGTGTCCTCTGCAGCAGCTTGCGTCCCATCCTGCAGGGCAGGGATGGGTGGTGGGCTTCTCCCTTCCAGAAACCTCTTTCCATGTCTGCTGGGAAAGGTCTGAATGTCTGAAAGTGACAGCAAAATGTCCGCGCCTCCTTCTCTACCTTTTCTTTCCCAGAAATGTGAATGCTCAGTTAACAGCTTCAGACCAGGGGAACCTGGAGGGCACATGTGAGTCTGGGGGTCTCAGCCTGTGGACTGCGGATGGCCGCCGACCTCCCAGTGTCCTCCCCAGAGTGGGCAGCGGGGAGGGCGCGGATTTCACCGTGGCCTGTGCGTGCAGCCCGTGTCAGACACCGGCGCGGCAGGAAAAGGCTGCAGCCTGTGTTGCCATGGATATACGGAGGCGCAAGCTGATGCTGTTATTTTTAGCCCTGCAGTGCCAATTTATTGGCGGCATCCTGGGGACACAGGAAAGGCAGGAAGGCTCCCGCATCGCATCGGGGTTCTTCCCAGGACAGGTGGCCTGCAAAGGCTCTCGCCTGGGTGGATTCACCCTCCCTCTGGGACTGCCTCTGGTGGGTGAGGGGGAGCTGGTGCTGGGGACAACAAGGGGTTCTGGGGAGGTCACAAGCTGGGCTTAGTTTTATTTTATTTTTGCGGAACCAGGGATTGAACTTAGGCCCTTGTGCTTGCCAGGGAAGCGCTTATTCCACTGAGCCATCTCCCGAGCCCCTGGGCTTAGTTTTAGAGCAAATGGAAAAATAGACAAGGCTGCCAGTGGGTTGAGAGGAGCCTGAGAGGTGGCTCATTTCCAGAGCACAGCCAGTTCCCCCAACCCTAGGCCTACTCTGGGTTCTGTTCCAGGAGCTGGAGGCTCCTCTGGGGTGAGTCTGTGGTTCAGGGGTTTGGTCTGAGGTGCTAGATGGGTACAAGGGTCTTCCAGAGAGCATAACAGAGACATGGGTCCAACCCCCAGAGAGAGCCAAATAATGGGGCCCTAGTGCTTTCATCCTTCCAATGGGTGGCTTTGTTTCCTACCACAGTCTGCACACACATCACGAGACACCCTGTCCTGGCACCACAGCCTTCTCAGGTCAGGCCCGAGCTCTGCCCCAGTGTGTCCAAGCTGCCTGCTGCTGTATCCGGGCCTGGTCGGATGCCTGTACCTTGATGAGCTCACTGCAGCCATTGGTCAGCTCTTGGCATGAAAACACTGGGCTGTGTCGCTGTGTATAGGAATACCAGACCTCTGGCCTCTAGGGACCATATGTGCTGGTCTTTGGATCATGACAGGTCTCCCTGGCCAAGCGGCTTTACCTCAGAGGAAAGAAGCTGGCTACACGAGGAGGGAGATGGGCTTTAACCTCTGCTGGGGCAGGGGCAGGGGCAGGGGCAGGGGCAGGGGCAGGGGCAGGGGCAGGGGCAGGGGCAGGGTGGATAAATAGGGTAGTGGAGGCCTGGCTCCCCATGACCCTGCCCCTTGTTTCCCAGGCCAGAATAAACTCGCCAGCCTCTGCTCTCAGCATCCCTTGTTTCTTGGCAGGGTCTCACTATGTTGTTAGTGCTGGTCTGGAACTCATGCTGATCCTTCTGTCTCAGCCTCCTGAGTGCTGGGATTACAGGGCCACACTACCATGCACAGGGTGCTGAGACTCCAAGAGGTGGATGCAACTGATCTGGACCCCTGGTTGGAGGCGGTAGCAAGGCCCAGAACCGGTGATGGCCTCTTGGGTCTTCCTCTCCCCCTCTACCCAGTCCACCCCAGTGGGGGTCTCACCATTGACAGTCAGGGTCACCTCTCTCTCCCCGGCTCCCACCCGGGGCACAACAGCTCGGCACACGTACTTCCCAGCATCCTCCTGGCGGACGGATTTGAGGGTCAGAGTCTTTTCATTGCTCAGGACCTAGGAGAGTGGGAGGGTCAGACACAGAGTGGTCAGGTGGCTGGAAGCAGGCCTGGGTGCCGGTGTCCGGGGACTCTGCTGGGGACTCCTGACTTCTGCCAACAGAGGTGATGCAGCCCTCCCTCCACCTGCTAAGGCTTCTCCTCTTCCAGCCTTGCTACGGCTGAAATCATCCTGTAGCTGAGCTGGGAGGGACCTGGGACTTGTGATTTCTTATTTATTCTCAGCATTCCCTTGGGGTGGAGCCAGGATGATGACCAGAAAGCAGACTTCAGTGCTGGCCGATCTGCCTGCGAGTCTTGGTTCCAGCGGTGACATACTTGGTCAGCTCAGAGGCTGGGCTTCCTCATCCTTTGAAGGAGGTGGTGACGCTTCTCAGGACAGCGTGGGGGGCTTATTGAGCACTGCCTCACTGCTCCTCCCTACTGCGGGGACATCTGGCAACCTCTAGCTTACTCGTGAGCATGTACATTTCAAAGAGGAATGCAGGGACAAAACCGAACTGAACATCAAGGCTAAGGCTAAGTTCATTTGAGGGGTTATTTTTTTTGGTGGTGGGAGTAGCTGTGATTGAACCCAGGACCTTTGCACTGAGATACAGTCCCAGACTTTGATCGCTTATTTTTTTATTTTTAAATTTTGAGATAAGGTCTTGCTGTTTCTTCAGCAGGCCTTTCACTTGTGGTCCTCCTGCCTCAGCCTCCTGAATAGCTGCGAGCACAAGTATGCACCACTGCTCCCATCTTATTTGGGGGAGAGTTGAAAAGCCTTTCTAGGGAGTGCCCACCACTCCATATCGGCAGCCACCTGCTCTTACAAGGTTCATGATAGGAAAACTGCAAAAGCAAATGCGCTCAGAGAGAGACAGGGAGAATGGCGTGCCTGGGCCCCCTCTCCTCTTTCTGGGACCCTTCCCCTTGGGCTTGTTCTGGAGATGGACTCCCCTAGTCCAGCAGTGACAGGACCCCCCACCTGCCCCCGCCCCCACCCCACCCCCAGGGACTCACCACACCCGAGCCTCGCTTCATCCACACGATGGTCAGGGACGGGTTCCCGATCCACGCACAGCTGAACACGGCGTCAGAGCCCAGGTCCACGAGCAGAGACTGCGGCTCCATGACCATCCGGGGTCCAACTATGGTGGGGAGGAGGAAGGGGAGGGTGCGGGTGGGTGTGGAGCTCTGGGGTCCCTTCTCCCTGCCATCCCCTTCCCGTCACCTTGGCTGGGGAACACGGGTAGCTGGGTGCTCGGCCACGTCCCTCCAACTCCGCTCATTCTCTGCACATTTGTTCCTTGCCCTGGTGGCCCTGGGCTCTGGCAGTGGAAGTCAGGAGGACTCCCTGTCGCCAGGGCCTGGACTCGCCCCCTGGGCTCTCACACTTCCTTCCCTTGGTCTGGATCCCAGAGACACAGGACACTCAGGGAGCCCACCCCAGCAGGCAGCCAGAGGCCCTCCTGGAAACACTCCCGGGCAGGTGCACAGGTCCTCTCTCCAGCAGTGGCTCCCCGGCAGGAGCAAAGGGGCAAGGCCACAGTGTCTCAGTCTCTTCCCTGGGTCCTCGCACCCCGCCGGGCCCCTGAGGCTGTCCTCCTCCCCAGCCTCACTCTCAGCTCCCCTGCTTCCCAAGCCTCACTGGCAGGCAGCTCTGGCCTCAGCCCAGTGCAGGGTGCCTGGTGCGGATAGAAGCCAGCCGGGTGGGTCTTGGGGCTGCCTCTGGGGTGAGGGGGCATTCAACACACGTGCCACAAATCAGGAGTACTTCTGCAGAGGCTGTTGGACTTCAGGGACAGCGGCAGGTGAAAGTGTGTTTGTAAAAGTGCTTTTGAAACTGCAAAGGGCAATGCAAGCATGAATGATCGTGGAGCGCATCCTGCCCCAGCAGTGGGCCGACTGTCCGTCTCTGCCAGGCTATCAGCCCCCTCAGCTGGACAGCGGAAAGCGTGGGCCTGTGGCGGAGTGGGCCATCGCTGGCCACAGTGCTCGTCTGCGCACTTATTCGCTCCCTCATCGAGGTAAGAGGAAGAATGGTATCTGCTTGTGCTGGGACTGCAAGTCTGTATCCCTCTCTACTGCAACTTTGCCCTGTAGGATGCCCACAGGAGATGACTGGGGTGTGGGCATGGCATGAGGGCCCTTTAAGAAAGGACAAAAGAGAGCTTGCTTCCCCTGCCCTTCCTTCTCAGCCTGGTTCCACGAGGACGTGAGGACACAGAGGGAGGGCAGCCCTCTGCAGGGCAGGGGTCAGCTCCCCAGGGCAGCTGCACTGGCAGTCCACTTTCTGTGAGGCCACTCCATCCACTGTCATGAGCTGGAGCAGCACGAGCTGGCACCGCCTGGCAGCCTAAACATGAGCGTCGTGGCTTGGGATGTGGCGTGGCCGTGTGTGAGGTGAGCCCAACCAGAGGCCGCCTGGCGCTGGCCAACACAGGGGAGCTCCCCAGTCCTCGCACTCACAGTAGACGTCCACTGTGCGGCTGAGGTTGGTGCTTCCCAGGGCATTGGTCACCTCGCAGGACACAGGCTCTGAGAAGTACGTGTAGTCCACGGTGGTCCTGTACACCTCCCCAGATGCCTCCTTGATGATGTGGCCCCGCTTGGCCCACCTGCAACAGAGGTCAGGGGCTAGGGGACCTTCCTTCACACAGCTGTCCATCCCTCCACCCCACAGGGAAGCTGGGTCTGTGGGGCCCTTGGAAAGTCTTCAAAGAGGGGTGACCTCAGAGGCTGGGGAGCAGTCAGTCTACACCCAGCCAGGTGGGGCAGGCAAGAGTGGGCTTTGGGCTACAGTCTCCAGGGGTCAGTGGCACCTAACAAGTGGGTTACTCCGGAGGACTGTGATGTGATTACCTATTGGTCCACCTGCCTGGCTAGTCCACGCATGACTGACTGTCACCAGCAGACAGCCTGGCTGTCCAGCTTTGCGCGTGCCTGTGGGCCCCATTCTGGGCCATGTCAGAAAAAGAGGTTCACTGCTGACCTCAGAGGTCATGGCCCGTGTGCTCTTACAAGCATACACTTGCACACGCGTGGACACAGCCCTACCACAGACAGAGAGAGAGGAGGCTCCTGCAACCCGGTTTCCAGGCAGGATAAGATGTAGAAGTGGTGTGACAGAGCTGCCCATCCCGCCTGCTCCTCCCTTCCCACCTGGCCAGCTCACTCAGTTCCTGCTTCTGCCCCCAGAGTGGGTCCCTCCTGGGGTCACCCTCTCCTCGCGGTGACTCTTGCTCTCCTTCCACCCCAGCAGCTGCCTTCCCCCTCCGGTTTTGCTTCCTGGAGGTTGTAGCTCCGTTAGTCCTGGTTGATGGGGGAGCTGAGCAGAAAATCTCTCTCAGCCTGTCGGTGCCCTGGGCTTGGCCCCAGCCTGTCAGAACCCTAGGCTCTAGGGAGGTGATCCCGGCCTTGGACAAGCCACTAGGCACCTGCTGTGTGCAGGAGGCACTGCGGCCCACGGGGCCTGTGTGTGCAGTGTGAATGTGTGCGCGTGTGTGTGCATGGGTGTGTATATGGGAGTGGAACATGTGCGTGCGTGCGTGTAGGAACACACACAAGGGCTTGAGTGCATGTGTGTGTATGTGTGTATGGAGGTAAGGCTTTCAGTACAGAGCCCTGAGGAGAGAGCGAGTGCTCACAGCTTCCCGGCTTTAGTCCCCTTATGGACAGCTGTGCCTCTCAGAAAGCACAAATCTTCCACCCGGCTCCTCCAGCCAGGCTCCCTCCACTGCAGCCTGTTTTGGGGTGTCAGTCTTTCCTGGGGTCACTGCTTCCTGGAAGAGGGTCCCTGCAGCTGTGCCTCTCCTCTGCTCCCTCTGCTCTTGGATCTTTCCCGGTCCCACTTTTGCCCGTCTCCTGCTCCCCTCCCCAGCTCCGTGGCTCGGTGTGGCCTGTCCAGCCCCAAAAGATGGCTACTTTTCACTTGGGCCAGTGCTGTGTGGTTGTTATCACAAATTAATATTGGGTAATTATTAAGAACATGATTAATAATAACAATTATAGTTTAATAACAGAGCAAACCATAGCTCCCTGCGAGCTTAAGGAGCTTCCCAACAAACCATTATGAGTTATTCATGAATCGTTTCAATTCCTAACTTTAATTTAATGACCAGACTTAATAGTCAGGCATGGCCCCTGCCTGAGGCGGAATAATTCTGTTCCAGACACACAGCTGGGGATCTGCGTCTAGCCACTACCTCTTCTCACCTGCTGAAGTGAGGGGGCCTGAGTGGTGGGACCTGCAGACAGGCCACGCTGCGGCCTAGGAGACCTGGTTCTCACAGGCAGGTTGTTTCTTCCTCAGGTCCTGGAGAAAAGGGGCCTTCTCCTTCTCTGCGTGGGGCCTCCCTGTGAAGGCCACTGGCTTGGCCTGAGTCTGGAGAAGTACGTAGGCCCTGATGGCCTGGAGCCCAGCATTCCAGGGCTTGAAGTGGCCCTCTCCTCAGGCTGGGAAGAAATCGGAGGAAGGAGACCAGAGGGCCGGCCAGCTGTGGGAGGGGGTCTTTCCTGCCCTAGCAGAGCCATGCTGTCTGAAATGGCCCTCTGTGTGGCCTATCCCCCACTACAGGTCCCAGGAGGGCAGGAGAAGCTCTCTGACTGTCCTCACCCAGGGTCACAGGGTGACCTTGGGGCTAGACCCTTGAGAGCCCATGACCAGGGTCTGTAGTGAAGGTGCCCTTGGTGTCCCTGCCCCAGGAGTCCTCTGTGCATATCTCAGTCTGTCTTCCCCTCCCATACCTCGAGCCTCAGTGGTCAGCCCCTGACAGCGCGTCTCAGCAGCTGGCCCTGGGACCAAGGCCCTCTTGTCTCCTGTGGATCCGCTGCTGAGCCTCCTGCCGGGCGCCCTCTGTGCGCCCCTTTCCTCCCCACTGCTGCTTCTGCGCCTCTCCCATCCCCTCTGAAAAAGAACTCAGCTTAAGCCTTCCCCAATCAATGTCTAATTTTGTCTGAACAAATGTATAAGGATTAATTATTTATATCACGGAATCAGGAGGTCTGGCGTGTCACTGGCTGACAGGTTGGCATGTCAAACAGCTCCTGCTCCGCCCGGGGCAGTGCTGGTCCCTCATCCCACGCTCTGCATGGGTCACCTCAGAGGGCAGAGCCTAGAGCGCCTCACTCTGCACTCAGGCCTGTGCTGCTGGCCCTGGGCCCCTGGTCCTGGGCGCCGCTGAAGACAGCCTCGACACCCAGCCAGGCCCTCTTTCGGAGCGCAAGCGTGGGGGAGAGTGTCTGTTTAATTTTGGAGATTACAGTCTTTGAGGTGGACCAGGAAGGAAGCAATCAAGATGACGAGAAGTAAAGAAAGATTCCCATAATCTCGTCAAAGTCAGCTGGGAAAAATCAATGTACTAATGCGAGGAGATCTGCTTAAGGCTTTTCCTCCAGCTCCCACCACTGCATTTAGAATGTGCCTGCAAACTCGGGCTGCTGGGTGGGTCCTCATGGGGTGGAGAGGCTGAGCGGGCAGGGTGGGCCCAGGCCTCTGCTGCCTCCCCTCTCCCTGGCCTCGCTCTCACCTTTTCCTGGGGCCAGAAGGGACCCCAAAGCTTTTGGAGCCCTGGATGGAGCCCAAGTTGCACCAACATATTTTCAGGGCAATCAGAAGGCCAGGAGGTGGTTAGGGAGTTAGCTCAGTGGTCTAAGCACCTGCTTGGCAAGCTCAAGGTCCTGGGTTCAATCCTTGGTACCACATGCTGCACCAGCCCTGGAACCCTGGGCGCACTATGCTGGCTACTCAAACAGGATGTGGTAGGGCATGCCTATGATCTCAGTGTTGGGGAGGCTGAGACAGGAGGATCACTATGAGTCTGAGCTGCATAAATACATTAAAAATAAATAAATAAGAAATTTAAAAAAAAAAGAATGAAAAAGAAGGCACCAAGCATTCACCCCAGGTCCTGAGAGCCACAAAGAGGATGTGGTAGGGCATGCCTATGATCTCAGTGTTGGGGAGGCTGAGACAGGAGGATCACTATGAGTCTGAGCTGCATAAATACATTAAAAATAAATAAATAAGAAATTTAAAAAAAAAGAAATGAAAAAGAAGGCACCAAGCATTCACCCCAGGTCCTGAGAGCCACAAAGAGGGGACAGAGAGGGAGGGAATTTACTTGATACCACTGACTACTAAACTTGTGTGTTCATTAACTTTTTTTCCTTTTTTTTATTTTAGGGAAGGGTCTACAGGGTGTTCAGGGTACTAGATCCGACTTGTAGTGATCTGCCTCTTTACAGCCTCCCAAGAGGTGTGATGACAGGCATGCACCACCAGGCCCAGTCTCAAGTGCCAACTCAGCTGCCTCGGGGGCAGTGCTGGCACAGCAGGCCCCGGGGGTCGAACACCTGGCCCTGCACTCAGGCCAAGGGGAGGGCCAGGAGCGCCTACTTTACTCCATGCGCTGCGCTGCATCCTGCGAGCCATAAGGGACTAAACTGCAGTTCTTGCCTTCGAGAAGCTCGTCTGGAGGTGTTTGAAAATGGGCATCTGAGATGAATACACACTTCTCAGATGAAGAAATACAAACAGCAAATGAATATATGAAAACATGTGCAATATCACTCATCATTTGAGAAATTCAATTAAAGCAACACTGAGATTCCATCTCATTCCAGAAAGAATGGTTATCATCAAGCAGTCAACCAATAACAGATGCTGGAGGGGTGGTGGGGAAAACGGAACCCTTCTCTGCCACTGGTGGGAGGGCAGACTGGTATAACTACCAGAAATCAGGGTGGAGACTCCGTACAAAGCTGGGACTGGAGGTTCCATTCAACCCAGCTCTCGCCCTTCTGGGTATTTTTCCAGAAGCGCTGAAAACCTCATACCACAGCGACATATGTGCACCCATGTTTATAGCAGTACAATTTGTCATAGCTGCATCTTGGAAACAACCCAGATGAATGGAAAAAAAGATGTGGTATTTTTATACAATGGAGTATTACTCAGTTATTAAAAAAAAAAAAAGATAAACTTGAGGTTTTGTAGGTAAGTGGATGCAACTAGGGACCATACTCAGAAGGGAAATAAATCAGGCCCACATGTGCAAACATCATATTGTCTCCCTAGTGTAAGAAGCTGAAAGAGTAAATAAAATCTGAAAGGTTCAATAGATACTGTGAAAGGGAAAGACTCTGTTCAAGGGGAAGGAACAAATGGGGTGAGGAAAAGGACAAAAGAAAGAAAGAAGGAAGGGAAAAGGTATACTTATACTTGAATAATTATACTGCTGAATTTTGCTAATCTATTGAAAGAAGCAGTTAATGTTTAAATTTTATTCTTCTCCTTTTTAATATCGTGTGTGTGTGTGTGTGTGTGTATGTGTGTGTGTGTGTGTGGTACCAGGGATTAAACTCAGGACCTTGTACTTGCCAGGCAGGTGCTTATGCTGCTGAGATGTATCCCCAGCCCCCTTTTTAATTTCTTTTTCTTTTGTATTTTAGGGAAGGTTCTACAAAGTGTTTCCGGTCTCACTACTAGATCCAACTTGTAGTGATCCACCTGTTTACAGCCTCCCAAGAGCTGGGATTACAGGCGTGCACCATCACGCCCAGTCTCAATTGCCATCTCAGCATGCCCTGGGGGTGGGACCGGTAGAGCAGGCACAGGGATCGAACCCCCAGCCTTTGGGCCTGCTTGCAGGCACTTTAATTCGCTGAACTATTTGGCTGGCCAATCCTTTTTAATTTCTTATAACTTTTTTTCACCGAGTTTTTCTACTTATACCTGGTAACCTAAACAACTAATTTGAAGACAACATTATACAATACAATAACTATTGTTGAATTCCTATTATTTTGTTCAATGAAATTCTGTATTGTTTCTAATGGTTTTGTTGATGCTTTAAAAAATTCTTTTTTTCTTTCTTTTTTGTGTATTTGGTACAGGCTCTACAGAGTCTCACTATGTAGATTGGACTTCTAGTGATTCTCCTGTTTTAAGCCTGCCAAATGCTGGGATTACAGGCTCATGCCTCCGCACTTAGCCTCAAATGCCATCTCAGGGCTCCCTGGGGGTGGGGCTGGCAGGGCACGCTGGGGCTCGAACCCCGGCAGCTGTGCCCTGCCTAAGCAGGCGCTTTAGTCTGCTGAGCTATCTGGCTGGTCCTTATTTTCTTTCTTAAAAAGCAAGGCTTTCATCAGTGCCATCGGCAAGGACCCCTCGGGCCCCCCTGACTGCGAGAAGCGGGCAGGGGTGAGCACAGGCTTTCTGGCTCTCCTGGCTGTTTTAACTTTTTTCCTGAGCCTCTCCTTTAGAAGGAAGGAGTAAGCAAACTTCCTCCCATGGAACAAGCAATGTCCACTTGGCTGGCCCGTGGCTGGCCGTGCAGGGAAGGGAGGACGGCTCTGGGACACTTAGGTAAGCCACGCTGGCCATGCACACACAGAAAGGGATGCTCCCCGCAGCAGGCGTGGGGTGGAGGGGCCAAGGGCCAGGCTGCAGCTCTGCAGCGGTGACGCTCACCGGTACTGGGTAACAGCGGGGTTGGCCTTTGCAGAACAGTGGAATGTGACGACATTGTCCTCCAGGACTGGCTGCGGTTCCACCGACAGGTTGACAAGTGGAGGGTCTGTGGGGAGACGGAGAGTTGTGCCTGTGAGCCAGGGTAAAAAGAGTGCAGGAGACCCCTGGGTGATGTAGGGGCCACAACCCAGAGATCCCACACTCCAGGGCCCCTCAGAGCAGCCACCAGCCTGGCGGTCACTTCAAAGTGGGACAGGGCTCAAGCAAGAGGCTCTGCCGCTTCCTGGAGGACTGAAGGCCTGGTACTGAAATGAACCTCCAGGCCGGGAGGATGGTTGCCAGGGCCTGGGACCGTGTTGTCCGACTTCTAGCTTCTGGTGGAACAAACCACTTCAGGAGAGGCAGCCGGAAGCGGTGAAGGGGAGGGGACGCACCCTCAGCCCTGTGTCAGCATGAGTTTCTGCTTCTGAAATGTGTTTGTGATTTCTTCAGGCAAGAGTTCTGGGGCCTCTGGTACCGTGGAAGCTGCGCGTGCACCCCTTCGTGGGGGGTGGGCAGCCACCTCCAGTCCTGACTGGCTCCTCAGCCATGGCTCCCAGGCAGGCTTGTTTATTCATCTGCTATGATAGATGCCAAGCCCTGAAGTGCTAAATGTGGGGAGCGGGGAAGAGACAGAAGTCAGAGAGGGAGGGAGATGGGGAGACACAGAGGCAGGGAGATGGGAGCCAGAGACCGAGACCTGAACAGAAGGCACAAGAGAGAGGTGGATGCAGGTACAGAGGCATTAATCAAAGATTTTGCACGGAAAGCAGAAAAGACCAAGGGAGGCCCAGGGTACAGACGGAAAATGACAGTGAGCTGAATTGAACCAAGTGAGAAGACAGTGAGAAGAACTGAACAAAGCAATGAGGATCGGAGTGAAGCACGAGGGAGAAAAAGACAAGGAGAGACAAAAAGATGGGAACGAGGTGGGTCAACAGCAGAGGCAGAGAGGTGCAGATCAGCCCAGGAGAGGCCTGGGCCTGCGCCTTCCGGGCAGCCGGCTCCAGACCTCCTCCAAAAGGCGTGCCCGGGCAGCCCAGCCCCTGGCAGCCATATTCTAGGAGAGAGGTGGCAGAGAGCCCCTGCACCTCGTCCTCCCTTGGCACAGCCTGACGACTGGCCTGGCGGTCAGCTCTGGGCTGAGCTCCAGGCCAGCAGGATCCCTTGGCCTGGCCGGGACCCTGCACTGCATCCTCTGGGCTGGTCTCTACCAATAAGTAGAGCTTGCTGGAAGACTGTGGGGTCTTTCTAGGTGTGTGGTTCATCGTCAGAAAAATCATTGCTCAGTTTCTTAGAGGGCATGAAGGGAGATCCTGGCCCCTCTGAGCCTCATGAGACACCTCACAGGAAGCAAGGGTCTGGAGTAGGCTGAAACTTCAGGTGGGGCTCTGAGACCCCCAGAGAGTCAGCATGCAGGCCTCCAGCTGTGCCTGAGCCTGGAGGTGGGACCGTGCGACTGCTGGGCCCTCCCTCTGTGTGTCAGAGCTGTGCGGCAGCTCCCTGCCTGTGCTGGAGGTGCCAGGTCTGTGCCGGCACCTGTAGGACCCCAGTGAGCCCAGGCAGATGCCTGCGCTGGGGAAGCCTGTGCTCCCTACCTCACACCCAAGTTCCAGATGGAAGCATCAGTGCTGGAGGAGCCTGGTGCTCCAGTTTGGACCTTGTGTCCCCAGAGGTCCATGTATTAATGGTTTGGCCCTACAGAGGTGCTTTTGGGGAAGGGGTGCAGTCGTTGAGAGATGGGAGCTGTAGGAGGCCTTTAGGCCAGGGGGATTGTGTCTTTGAAGGACTTGTGGGACCCCAGTCTTCTCTTCCTGTGGGACCCCAGTCTTCTCTTCGTTTTTTTTTTTTTTCAGAACTGGGGATTGAACTCAGGCCTTTGTGCTTGCCAGGGAAGCGCTTATTCCACTGAGCCATCTCCCCGGCCCCCATTCTCTTCCTCTTTGCTCCCACTCAGCTGTTCTCTGGTCATGATATGCTGCCTGAGAATAGCCCAAGGCAACAGGCCCCCCAAGGAAGGGGCCGTGGAAGCCAGGAGCCCAAATGAACCTTTTCTCGCACATAGGTCTCTTCTCTCAGATATTTGCTACCGTGATGGAAAGCTGACAGGCACAGACGGGTATTTTGACCGGTTCTATGTTAGTTTTTAAAGCACAAATCAAGTGGCCACAAGATGTACACAGCAAAGAATAGCTACGAGAATTCTGCCAGTCCCCCAAAAGACTATCTCCTCCCCAGTCCTGGAGCCTCTCTCTGAAAAGGAAAGGCTGAGGCAGGGGCCCAGCCCTCTGTCCTTGCAGGGCTGGCCAGCTGAGCTGGGCATCCTCGGAGACCAAGGCAGAGCCTGCACCTCACTGTGGAGAAGCGTGTCAGGAGGCACGGGTGTGTGTGTGTGTGCATGTGTGTGTGTGCTGGTGACTACCATCTGGAGCCCAGGGCACAGCCACCTGCGTCCTCCTGACATCTAGCACTCCTGTTTGAGGAAGTGGTGGTGTCAGCTCAGTAGAATCCCATGATGGAATTGGGGGAGGTTTCAGGTGGCCCCTCCCACACCTGATTGTCCTTTACAAAGTGGGGAACCCTCAGGGAGGCAGGGGAGGGAGCACAAAGCTGCTGGCTGCCCTCCTGTGCTGATGCTCTATAATCCACCTACCATTGTCCTCCTCTGAGGAGGGCTCTGCAGGCCCCAGGAGGGCCCCATTCACCTGTTTCATCTGCGCCCTGCCCAGCCTCAGACATACTCCTGTCCCCCTCTCCACCCTCCTCCTCTGGATGCACAGGATATGAATTTTCAGGAGTCTGCCAAGCTCCAGGGGTATAAATAGTTTATGTCATATCCAACTATTAAACATGATTTTAATCCCACTTGTGATGTCGGCTGCATAACTTGCAGGAGGGCAGCTTTGATGTAGCTGGTGGAACTGAGATCACATTGAACAGATGTTCCAGCTGAGAGTCTGTTAGTGTTTCCATCAGCAACCTGTGTGCGTGTGTATGTGTGCGTATGCATGTGTGCGTGTGCGTGTGTGTGTGTGTGTGTGTGTTCAGGGGAAGTACTACATGGGGGGGTAAGAGAGGAACTTCATGACTCAGTGATTTTATGGCACATCCATTTGAAACTTGGCAGCTGGACACGGACTCCAGATGTGGTGAGGCTTTGGGGGTGTTAAGCTTTCTCTCCCATTACTCAATCTGGGGGCTTTGTCTTCCGTTGGGTAACATAGAAAGACCAAGGGAAACAAACAACAAATGTGCTTTTGCTGAGTTTGGATGCTTCTTGGTTGACTGAGAAAATGAGCAGGTTTGCAAAGGCGGCTCAGATCCAGGCTGTGGTGTCCATGGCAAGCAATTGGACGCTTATGGAATGAGCAAACGAGTCAACTGAGGGGGGGGTGTGGAGAGGGGCCTTGCCTCTGCGGGCAGGCACGTGGAAACACCTTCTGTGTGAGGAAACCAAATGCTGGGCAAATGAGGAAGGCAGCTACCCTGGGGGCTGGGGGCGCGGGGAGGGACTGCCACACCCTGGGGGTTGACAGGGCACTCCTAATGGGGCAGGTCCAGTGCTGGGGGCTGACATGAATGGTTTCATTTGGTCCTCATGGTAACTATAGGCGGTTAGCACGAATCCTGTGGAGTACTGATGCAGAAACAGAAGCAGATGCGGCAGACAAATCAGGTCCACTTCACCTAGTAAGTGGGGGAGCCAGAGTTCAAGCCAGGAAGAATGCTTGCCCTCCACCCAGCGCTACACTGCTCTGGACAGTCAGTGTAGGACACTAGGCACCTAAGTCTCACTTGGGCCTTAATTCCTATGGTTGAGATGTCCTTGGCAGGAATGCTGGGCAGGGTAGGCCCCACCCTTGGTGTAGCCAGTGAATGGATCTTCACTGGATTGCACTGAAATGCAGAATACTGGCCCACACCTAGAGCAAGTCATTGAGTAGCCAGGGGCCAAACTCTGATGACTTTCCTGTCCCTGGGAGAGGCCACTCTTGGCTAATGGCTCATGGCCTGGGGCAGAAACACTGCTTCTTCTCTGGTTGACATCATTGGGGAGCCAACTAGGTTGTTTCTTTTTAGTGCAGGATGCTGTAGCTAGCATGGTTTCCTGCCCAGGACGGGGATGAGGGTGGGGAAAAGAGGACAGGGGGTGGCGGCACAGTTGCCATAGATCACAGCCTGGAAGTAGGGGCTTTGTGGCTGTCAATCCTCCAGATCTGGAGAAAGCCTCACACACAATGAGTCCTAGAGCAGGAAGAGACCCTGGACATCACTGATCAAACCCAACGAGGAATGGAAGTCCCTGGGGAGAAGTGACAAGCTGACACCTGCCCAGCTCATGGGCGAGGGACTGTTCTGGCCCAACAGAATCTTCGTTCTTCTCTGGAGCTGGGTCTTTGCTCTGTGTTATAGCTGTTCACCTAGACAGAAACAGTCGGTCCTGACTGCCAGGGTTAGACTGGGGCCAGGGGCAGGAGGATCCCAGCATGCAGAATTTAAGGAGGCCTGCCTAGTGGGATTCACCCTGCACTTACAGAACCTGTGAGAGGGAGCCTCTCCTTAAGGTTTTTTTTTTTTTAATTTTTTTTATTTATTTGTGTGTGTGTGTGTGTGTGTGTGTGTGTGGCCAGCTCAGCCCACCAGGGGGCGGGGCTGGCTGGCATGTGGTGCTGGGGGATTGAACCGCGGTCCCTGTGCTTTGCTAAGCTTGTTCTAAGTAGGTGCTTTAGACCACTGAGCCATCTCACCAGCCCTCTCCTTAAGTTTTATGCCCTGGGTTCACTCCTGGCTGTCACCAACTGAGGACTGCAGGAGCCCTGGGCTGTGCGGAAGGAGGTAAGGGAGGCTGTAGTAGCTGGCAGAGCGACAGCAAAGATGGAGCTGTCCACACTACCACTGTGCCCAGGTCCCAGAACCCAGGCGACGCTCGCAACTGTTTCTTCCTCCCTCCGGGTTCTGAATAGTTTGTGCCAGGGCTTTGTGCACTTGTGTTGTCTGTCTGAAGTGGGTTCCTGAAACTCCAAGTCAAAGCTCCTGTGGACCCTGGCTCCTCGGTGGGCCTTGGATGAGCAGGGCTGTTAGAAGGAGTTTTGAAGCTCATTTGCTGTAAAATGAGTAAACTGCTGAGGAGCACATGAATACCTGTAGCTCCAGCTTGTCACTCAGCCTGTGACCAAGGAGCCACCAGCATGCAGTGGCAGCATGATATGGGAGGGAGGGGCTTCTGAGATGGGGAAAGTCCACTTTGGGGGGCTGGTACTTCTCCCCTAAAGTAATCCTGTCTTGGTAGTAGGGCTGCTGGAGTGGCCTTGTTCCTGGGGGATGATGAGCACAAAGGGGACCTTTGGGGAAACTCCTTTAGGTGGTTTCTGGAAAGGGATGCCGGCCAAGCTTTATAGCCCTGTTATGTTAATATTAACCATAACAGCTGATGCCTGCTGAGGACTGGCCTTGTGGGAGTAGAGGGAGGGTTCCCTCTAGCCTGTCTGGGCTTGGGCCTCTGTGGTCTTGGGCAAGTTGGCTAACCTCTTGGTGCCTCAGTTCCCCTTGATGGTCATACTTCTTCTAAACAGATTAAATGAGATATGCACACAAAGTGTGGGCTGGTTGTGCACCTACTCTTTCTCTTTCTTATAACCTCTGACCAGCCCTCCCCTGAGAGTGACCCAAAGAACTCCAGGGCCCCAGGACCCTTCAGCCACCAGTGCCTGCACCCCAGCTTCCTCTCCAGCAGTGGGGCCAGCAGCTGATTGTATTTATCCGTACAGAAGCTCAGCCTTATAAAGGCGTTGAAGTGTGACGTGAGGTTGGCCTTTGTAAAGGATCATCACCTGTGCTTCCCACAACAGGAGGACAAGCTAGTCCTTTGTGCCCAGACACAGAAAGTGGCCATCCTGCAGGGCTGTGCATAGTGCCCCCTGCCACCAGATGGCCTGGGCCATGGCAGGGCTGCTAAGTGGTGCCCACACTGGGCCTGGCAGCCTGGGGGGCCTGATCGGCACTCACGCTGGATGTCAATGGTGACCGAGGTCTCTTTCCCTCCAGGGATTGCTTTGTTGGTGGCACGGCACACGATGCTCTGCCCATTCTCCACGTCACCAGGGGAAATGAAGAGGGTGCTGACGATGCTTTCTCTCTTGCCATCACGGAGCAGGGTCTGGAGGGCAAGAACGGGTAGAAGGGTTCATGTCATCAGGCTGGGATGGCCTGGGTGGACAATAGGACCCAGCTCCGAGGGAAGAGCAGAGAGCAGACGTGGAGAGTGGTGTAGGGCAGGGGGATTATTTCAGGAGGTGTGGGGTGTCCATCTCCGATAGAGCTGGCTGCTGCCTTTAGTTTCCGCCTTGGATCATTTCTGGGCTGTGGAAGAAAAAAGGAACTAGAAAGATTGTTATTGTGCTCAAAAATTAGCCTGGACTTATAAATCAGAAGAGCAAAAGCAACCAGGGTGGGCCTCATGGAAGCCATGCTTTGGTGAGTCTTTTGCAGAAATGAACTGGACATCTGCCTCTGGGGCCTGGGTGGGCCCCAGGGTCTGCGGGAGGCAAGGGGATGGCTTGGAGCAGGTAGGTGTGGCTCCCGAGCAGTGACTCTCTGCAGAAGAGGGTGCAGCTTGGGGCATGGAGGTGAGAAGAGTGCTGGGCAGGGATGGGGCAGAATCAGTGGACACCCACCCTTTCATTACTGTGCAGTGTAAACCCTCGCAACATTTCGCATCACTCTACTTCTTGGTGTCATTAGAGATACCACAAAGCAATGGCAGGATGAGGCTGTCATTTTCTACTGCACAGGGAAGGAAACAGGTGAGATGGAGAGAGATGATGGGGTACGGTCAAATTTCCACTTCAAGTTGGTAGCAACATAAGGGCTAGGGTTCTGCAGTCCTCAGTCACATCCACCTAGAACCTTAGAACTCGACCTTACTTCACAATAAGGTCTCTGCAGAGTAGGAATTAATTGGTGGAGGATTTTGAGATGAGATTACCCTGGATGTTGGGAGGGCCCCAAGTTCAATGAATGGAGTCCTTTCAAGAGGAGGAGATGACACAGACTCTGAGGCTCACGTGACAACGGAGCCAGAGCTTGCACATGACTGCTGCAAGGCAAGGAAGGTGGGAAGCCACCAGGAGCTAGAAGAGACAGGGAAGTCTTGTCCCTAGTCTTTGATGACACATGATTTCTGACTTGACCTCCAGGGAGAAGGAATTTTTGTTATTGCTAGCACCAAATCATGGTGCTTGGTTAGGAAAGTGGTAAGAAACAGCACAAGTTCTGAAGCTTCTGCTCCCCTTTGCTGAGGTAACTCACTGCCTTTTCCTACTGGACCAAAATATTGTTTTATAGCAGCTTCCCCTCGCTTCCCCTGCCCCCCCCCCAAAACCTCCTCCCCAACCAATTGGGGCCTCCTTAAGGAAAGCACAGGCCTGGGGGGCACACTGGGCAGGAGGGGTATTTGAGTGAGGACTGAACTCAGCTTTGAAGACTTCCAATCTGGAAAGGGCCTTCCCTCCTTGGGGTCGGGGTGGAATGCCGTCTGCCTTTGCTAGGACAGGAGTCAGGGACTGGATGGCTCTCCTCCCTGGAGACCACCCATAAAAGAGTGGGCGGCATTGTCTCTAATTCTCTCAAGGGCCTGGAAATAAAGAAGCATTATCTCTGTTTTGCAAGAGAAAACAGAGTTCAAAATAAGTCAAGAACTTGCTGGGCAGAGCTGGGCTTGCACTTACAAATAGGGACCTCTGGGTAGTGACCCTCTGTCCTGCCTCCCTGAGATACCCGAGGGCAGTAATTATGAGCTGTACTTGGCAGGTGGAACCGCAGTAACTCTACCTTAGGGGCCAGTTACTGAGCTAGTTCCTAGCAACCTGCAGGCTGCCGGGTCTGCCTTTCCATGTGGCCCCTGTCCATTTGGGGCAAGGCTGAGGGCTCTGGGATGTGGAGCAGCTGGCCTGAGCATCCATGTAGAGCAGCGCATCCTGCTGTCAGGCTGAGCTAGCTCTGGAGAGAGCCGCAGCGCGACTTTCTCCCACATCCTGCAAAAGTGGCCTCACAGGCCTGAGGCTTCAGAGTGCCGGCCCCTGGGCTGGCAGCTGGGGGAGAGGGGTGTGGCAGTCCCACGAGGGTCGAGTCTTTGGCCCAGCTTCTGGGCTGGGGTGCTCAACTGAAGGCCCTTAAGGGTGGTTGGGGGAGTGTGGTTAATCAGCTTGGAGCGAGCTCAGCAGCATCAGGACTGGGCTGGCCTGGGCTGACCTGGGTTGCTCAGCCGACCTCACTAGGACTATAAATACCAAAGTGCTAGTAAGAAACCATTTTCTGGATGAAAATAAGACCTCAGGGCAGTGAGTTGGGAAGAGGGGTGGGGTGATGCTGTTCTCCCCTCTCCTTTACTTTTCCGAGGTACTAACAAGGACCCCAGCGTCAGTTTGCCTCTGCCCAGGTGCCCCCACTAGAATGGCTGGATCAGGCTTGGGTGTTGGGGGCTCTGGGGGTGCAGTGGAGGGAGCAGGGAGGCCTGGCTCTGGTCAGACCCCGCCTGCCTTCCTCCTCCCCAGCCCTGGGCGCTCCTCTGCCTCTAAATGATGATTAATGACATATTTACTGTGTCCAGGCGGGTGCTTTTCTGGGAAATAACAATTCTGGTTCAACTTGTTTGTCCCACCTAATTAGAGAAAAAGGGAAATGTGTTCATTAAACAAAGGAAAAAACAAGGGGGGAGAGGAGCCCCAGAGCTGCCCCCGCAAGCTGGGGGACGGGACTCCTGTCCTGTCCAGGGAAGGGAGAAAGGTCAAGGTTGCCAGCAGCGAGCAGCGCTGGAGGACGCTGGAGGCTCTTAGGTGAGCGGCCCTGGAGACCAGGGGGCTGATCCTGCAGAGTGCAGAGGGTGGGGAGGCCCCTCTACACCCTGCTTTTCCCCCCTTCTTCCTTTCCAGGTCTTCTTACTTCTCCTTTCTTCCCCTTTTCTTTTGCTCAATTTCCTTTTTCTAACTATTTTCTCACATGCAAATGAAGCTTCCGAACTTGGTGGCCTGAAGGTCCCGGTCCTGGTAGAACTTTCTGTCCTTGGCCCTGTGCCTCTCTCCTCCCTCTTTCTGTCACCGCACTGGGCTCTGGGGACCCATTGCAGGCACTAGGTCCCCCACTGCTGGCTTCCAAAACCTTCCCAAGTGTGCACATTGACTCTGGGAGGAAGTGGATTCCTTAGGGGGAGTCAGAGCTCCCCGAGCTTCCGGAGCCGCCACCCCCATGCCCCTGCAGCTCAGCTGCTGAGGTGCTGCCAGCCTCCGGACCCAGCCCTCAGGCTGCCCGTGTGGCTGTAGGGGCCTTCCTGAGGGTGCAGCTATGGCCCAGGGCGAACGCACAGCGCAGGCCAAGTGCACCTTGCCGCTTCTCAGAGTCTGGCAATGCTTGCTCCTGCTCGAGGGTGTTCTGGGCCTTGGTGACTCCCACCTCTAAGGACATTTCTGGGCTGCTCCGTGACCTAGTACTTGCTCTGATGCTGCTGCTTCCTGTCTGTGCGCCCTCCCCTCACAGACCCCGAATTTACCTCCCAGTTTTCCCAGCAGTGGCCTGGGAGGTTGGACAGCAGGGGCCCAGTGCACCCTGGGGCAGTTGCCTGGAGTGGGTGGCTCTGCTCTTTCCAAAGAGCTGGGCCTTGGCCTGCGGTTTGGAGCCAGGGACCTGGAGTAAATGCAGCGTGGGTGCCCTAATCCTGGTGCTAAATATGGGAAGCTCATTGCTATGCAAACAGCCTGGAGAGGCCTTGAGCGGCCTGATTGCCTGGCAACAAGGCTGCCTTTCTTCTCCCTCCCCACTCACCTCCCCCACCTGCTGTGTCCTTTTTTTTAGTCATTCCTCTGCTTCCCTTTTTTTGTTGCTGCTTGGGGATCCAGATAGGCCTGTTATCACTTGGCCTGAATAAACTACTAGGGGTAAAGCACAGGACCGCACAGCCTCCTGTGCCCTGGCGCTGCATCCAGCCTTGTGGCCTCTGGTCACAGAGAAGGGCAGGATGGGTGGCTGCCACACCGCTGGAGCTGGGTAGAGATTCTGGATGGATGGGATGTAGAGCGAGGGGTTACCAGTGGGGAGGGTGCGTGGTGGTGGTAGGGGGCGCCCAGGGCTGCCAGCCCTCAGACTTTTCCTGAGCAGAGCCTCTGAGCTCCTCTTAGCATGAGCCCAAAGAAGGCTGGTGGTGGGTGTTACTGCTCCTTCAGCAGACAGGCAGCTCGAGGCTGAAGAAAACAGGCAGGCAGGGCTAGAGCTGGATGACTCTGCCTCCGGAGACCAAGCCAGGCTGCCTGCCTTCAACACAGCAGGCTGGAGACCTCCCTCTTCTCGGAACCCTTACCCGCTAAGGGAGGCAGGGGGCTGGTTCCTGGGTCAGGCTGGGAAGGTTTGCTCTGGTCTCAGCCTAGACCCTTCCCTATCTGTCCTGCCTCCCTGGGGTTTGAGGACTTGCTGGTTTCCAGATGAATGCCACATGACCTCCACTCTGGTATCAGGCCTGGAGAAGGAGGGGGAATGAGGAGTCTGGCTGTCCCCTGCTGTCCCCAAGTGCCTGGGGCTGGGCGTCCAGGAAGACAAATAGGAAGAGGCAGCCAGACACCCCCAGACCCCACAGGCAGTGCCAAAGTTCTTGTCCAGCTGTGAGGCTCAGCCTAGCACCCAGGCCACGAGGAGACTCACAGCCCCTTGTGCTGGGACAGGGTCCCAAGGCATGTCCTCTTGCTGTCCTTTTCCAGGAGGGGGCTTCCTGTCTGGCAAGTATGAGGTTCATCCTTCTGCTGGCCACATGGTGGAGTCACATGGTAGAAATCACTGCTTCTCCAGGTCGACCAGCAGTCCACAGACTCTGAAGCCTGGGTTGGTTTTGAAATCACCATAGCGGTGGGTTTTAGAGTCATGTGAGCTTTGGAGGAGGAGGACTGGGGTCAGAGAAGGCAGAGCACTGAGGAAGGGAGCTAGCAAACTCCTTGCAAGGAACTTGCAGTGCACAACTTCCTTCAAGTCCCTCGCAACTCCAAGAGGTATCTGTTATTTTTACCCTTCCCATTTTGCAGCTGAGGAAACTGAGGCAGAGAGGCCAAGCCAACACAATAGGCAACGGAGCCTGGGTTTGAACCCAGGTCTGTAGGACTCCACGTTCTGTCAACACAACTTTTCAGAAACACAGGAAACCAGGTTGGTTCAGGCCAGTGAGGGGACAGTGAGGGACAGGTCATAGTGCAACTCCTGTGTTCATGGTGTGCCGATTCTACCAGACTTGTTTCTGGCTCAGTCTGTAAATCTCCCTTTGACTTGGGTGCTGTTGCTGCTCCCAAGGGGATCTAAAGAGCAGCAAGATTAGGTCTCTCAGAAGGAAGGTCGGGGAACTGGGACTTGAGTTCAGCCACTCAGCTCTTGAGCCTTGGGCTTTCCCATCCACCGCAGTACAAATCAGAGGCCTTCCGACTCCAGGGCTGTCAAGGCTGCTCCAGGGACCTTTCCTGGGGACGATGAGCCTTCCTGCTTGTGTGCATATGCATAAATACTCTCACTTTCTCCTCTTGCTGAGCTTTGGATGTCCCAGCTGTCTGGCTGCTGTCTTTTGGAATAAATCAGAAGTGCTGTCTCTGATATTGATCCTTTCTGTCCTGGGGTGGAGGAGTCCTGGGCCTGGGAGGGAGGCTGAGGGGCTTCTCACAGCCCCTAGAGCCTATTCCAGAGGATGCCCGTTGGACTCCACCCCTTCGGGGTGCTTCAGCTTGTAGGTGTGCAGCTTGTCAGAGCTGGACCATCTCTGTGGGATGCTCGATCTCAACCCTTCTTCCTTGAGGAAGAAACTGAACTCAGAGTGAGCCTGGCTGCCCCTCTGCCATTCCCTTCCTGGGAATCTGAACAAGGTCAGATTAGGCTCCAGTGGGAGTGTGGCCCCTTCCGGGTCTCCAGTGGCATGGCACTGGGCTCTCTGAGTGATCTGCTCTACGTGGACAGGGATGAGTGCTGGCTCAAGGTAGTCCCGGGGCCAGCACTACTGGGTGACACTGCCTCTGTCATCTCCAGATCCATCGGTCCTGTCCACTGCAGGACACAACCCCGGCAGGAGGCAGCTGGTTCAGCATTGGGGTGTGGCTGGAAGACATCCTTTCCCCCCTCTCCATCCTCCTCTGGCACAGTTTTTCATTTCATAACATCACAGTGTGGCTCCAGCCCAGGGTGTGAGCAGATTTATCTCCCAAGAAGTAGCCTGCCCTGGCTGGACTCATGCCTGAAGGAAGGCATTTGTCTTGGGATCTGGCCCTGGGCTTTGAGCGGTGGCCAGGCTTCAATCAGGTGCCCTGTTGGCTGGGCAGTAGGACTGGGACGGGAAGGACAGTCTCTCCAAGCAGGGCAGGCTCACCTCACATTCTCTGCTGATGGCAAATGCCTTTCTTCTCTTTGCAGGCCCAGGAGGAGGAGGAGCCAGTGGTGGTGGGACTGGGAGAAGCTTGTGTTCCTCTCTACTCTCGGAGGCCACAGAGGGCCTGGCCAGAGGAGAACACTGGGTTCGGGGCTCCTCTGGGCTCCCAGGGCCCTGTCCATCCATCTGCAGCTGTCCTTCTAGGGGCATCATGAGAATGCAGTGCCAGTCTTTGTGGCAGCCACCTGTTCTGTCCCGCAGAGCTTGGAGAAGCTGCCCTGTCTTCCTAGAGGCTCTGCAACACACAGGCCCTGTTGGGGACTCTGCACTGTTCTTAGAGGGCTTTTGGGGGACACTGTTTCAAGAGGCAGCCAGCATTCTGGTTTTATTCAGGCATAGTGAGGCCAATAGATGTGGAGGCCACTGCACAGTAAAGAGGGTTTGTTACATGGTTCCCAAGAGGCCAGGGCACCACACTTTAGGGGCTCCGTGGGAGCTTCCGGGTCATCAGGGCAGAGGGAGTCAGGAAGAGTGGCTGAGCCTGTACCGTGGCTGATGGGGGAGGGGATGGTGGCCATGGGTGGGGTATAGGACAGGCAGCTTGAGTGACTTCAGTGGGATCTGGGGTCTGGGTTGGCCTAGAGCAGCGATACTCTTTTCAATAATATACACAGCCCGCTGTGGCATGCACGCCACAGGACATCACTGGCTTAGGGTTTGTGTCACGTGGACTGGGGGATAGTGTCCTGGGTGGGAAGAGCCAGATACCAAAGGTAAAGGGTGGACCAGGGCTGGCAGGCGTGCATATTAAACTTGGTTATTTTCTTCTTGTAGGAATCAGTTAATTCTGGGAGAGACAGTCCTTATATTTGCCTTCCAGGACCCAAGCAGTGAAGATGTTATAAACACACAACACACACACACACACACACACACACACACACACACACACACACACACTGCGAGTGCTGGGTCCAGTATTACCATCCTGTAATTCCAGTTACTCTGGGGGCTGAGGCAGGAGCACCGCAAATTCCAGGCCAGTTTAGGCAACTTAGAACTTGCCTCAAAATAAAAAATAAAGAAGACTGGGGATGTAGTTCAGTGGTAGGACGCCTCTGGGTTCCATCCCCACTACAGGAAATAAAACGTTAAGCCGGAGGCTGGTTCTGAGCACGTCCCAAAGCCAGAGGCAGAGGCCAGTGCTGAGTACATCCCAACTGGTGCCTCACGTGAACTAAGGGCGGGTGCAGCAGGACCCAGGGAGTGTGAGAGACTGTGGGCTGGACTGCTGAGTCCCCGGCCCTGAGTCAGGAACCAGGACACAGCAAAGCGAACGAGTCTCACCGGGCTGCTGTATGGAGGAGGCCAGAGTCAGCAGATAAGAATGCAGGCTGACAAGTTAAATCTGCGTTTCAGACAAGGGCGCACTTTTTTTTTAGGACAAGTGTGGTCCACTAACTTATTCCATGCCATACTTAGGACATACTTACACTAAAAAATTTGCCTTTTGTTTTTCTGAAATTCAAGTTAATTAGGCACCCTTCTTAGTTCACTCAGGTTGCTTTATCAAGATACCATAAGCTGGGTGGTTTCTAATCCGTAGAAATTTATTTCTCTTGGTTCTGGAGGCCAGGAATTCCAAGATCAAATTGTCACTGTAGGAACCAGAAGCCTGGCTTGTAGATGGTTGTCTTCTTACTATGTCCTCCACGTGGTGTAAAGAGCAAGGGGTCTTCCTTGGGTCTCTTTCATAAGGACACTAATCCCATTTACAAGGGCCCCATCCTCATGATCCTGTCACCTGTCCAAGACCCTACCTCCTAATACCATCACCAGGGTGGTTAGGATTTCAACCTGTGAGTTTTGGCAGGACACCATCACTTCAGATTATAGAAGCATCCTATTTTTTTTTCCTCTTAACTTTTCATTCTTTTTGAGACAGAGTCTTCCTATGTAACCCCAAACGGTCTTGAACTCATGACAATCCTCCTGCCTCAGCCTCCCAGATGCTGGGATCGCAGGTCTGTGCTGTCACACTTGGCGCAGCCTCCTAGAGCTTCCGTCTCTGAGTCTCCTCTTGTGAGTACATCCTATTCTGTGTTTTTCACTGTGTCTAGCTGTCACCCTGGGGCAGAGAGGAAGACTGTAGCGTGACAGACACAGGACCACAGACAAAGTGACACAGGGGGAAGGTACAGAGAGCCAGGTAAAGGACAGGAAGAGAGACAGAAACACCAGGCACAGACAAAGGAGCTGCAGAGAGCCCGAGTGATCCCGCCTCCCCGCGGCCTGCCGGACTCACCTTGGAGTAGGTGGCCCCGTTGATGACTTCTCCCCTTCGCAGCCAGATGATGGAGGCCGCAGGCTTGGCATTGTCTGCATGGCAGGTGAGGTTGAGGGGGTCCCCGGCCCTCAGGCTGATCACAGGTCCCCCCAAGATGACGGGGTCATCAGGCGGCACTGCGGGAGAGGAGCGGAGGGGTCAGGAGGGGTAGCCCTTCCTTGGGGTGGTGCATTGGGTGTGTCTAATGGAGAGGTCAACAAATGCTAACTATCAGTTTAATAAAATGAAGACTCCTAGGGCTGGCGAGACACTCAGTGGACTAAGCATCTGCTTAGGCAAGCGCAGGAAAACGGGTTTGATTCCCGGTATCACATGCTGCAGGGACCCAGCCCTCAGGGGCTCTCCCAGTGCTGGGGAGGCTGAAAACAGGAGGATCACCGTGAGTCTGATCTATATAGTGAGACCCTATAAGTCCCTGTAGACCCTGTACTATTTACATTGAAAAAAGACTCCTGAGTCCACTATCACACCTGTAGGCTGGTTTAATCCTCATAACAATCTGGAAAATTGAAGACTGTATCTTCCCAATCCCTTGAGATTATTATTCCCAGTGCACAAATCTGGAAACTGAGGTTTCGCAGGATGATGTGACGTGATCAAGGTCACACAGCAAACATGCAGTAGAGTCAGAGTCAGAAGCCTGGCCCTTCCCTGGCAGGGAACAGGTGAGAGGTGACAGGGACACGCTGGGGCAACCCAGGGGAGGGGCACTTCTTCAGAGGCTGGTTGGCTCCTCCTGTGCACTGCACTCTGAGGCCAGCTCCAGCTGCCTCGGGCCTGGGCTCCGAGGAGCCCCCTGGGCGGGATCCCCCCGTGCGTGGCCCTGGGCTTGCAGACTGCAGCAGTACTGGGGGCAGGCGCCCGAGCACCCTGCGAGACGAGGCCCCTGCCAGGTCCGGCCCAGAGCCCTGTGCCCAGCCCCGTGGACAGTGCTCGCGTCTCTGTGAGGGCTGTACGCTGTGGGGAGCGCAGTTACCGCGGTGGACGACTGAGCGTTGTTTAGTCAGGAGCCGGAGAACTCGTGGACTGCCCTGAGGACTGCAGCCTCCTGCAGCGCTTGTGCACGAGAACACATGGAGGACCAGGACGAGCCCCAGCAGGGGAGGGCTCACTGGAGCCTGCCCGAGGCCCCGGCCCCCTTCGCTGGCTGGGGCTGGGAGGGCCTCCCTGACACCGGAAGTGGGGCTGTGTGTGGGCCCAGCTCGTGAAGGGCGAGTGCAGGCCAGGCTCGGTGCCCAGCGCACATGCTCTTCTCGCACCGCTGCCCCAGCACGGGAAGCTGTCTGTCCACCCAGTGTGGGGGAGGGGCCGGAGCCCACACTGGGGATTTCCTGTCTTCTGCCCGCTGGCCATGGCTTCTCAGCCCATTCAGGCTTCTCCTAAAGCTCTGGAGGGCAGGTACCCAGGGCAGCAAACCTCCAGGCTAGTCTCCCTGCCTGCCCTCCCTGGCCCTGGCAGGGGCCTGGCCGGCCTAGACAGCCAGCAGTGCCATTTCCTCAGGAGAAGCACCCCACCGGTGTCAAGCTGGGCTCCACAGTGATCCCAGCCCAGGAAGGAATCAGCCTCGTCCAACCCTGTGGGTCCTGGGAGCTCAGGGTAGGCCTCCCAGAGAGGCCCTGGAGCTGCCCGGCCTGAAGGAAGCAGGTGGCTGCAGGCCGGTTACAGGACAAGTGGCCGTGCACATCCCAGCGTTCTCAGTTCTGTGGCCTCTTGGGTGCCCGCATGGTCCAAGAGCCAGGGGCTAAGTAGGGCTCCCTCTACAATTGGGGTGCGACTAGAGGCTGGTGAGTGTGATTTCACCTCCCTGCCCTGGCTGGGCTCTTCAAGTGGAGAAGGCTGGGGCTTGGCACTGCCCTTCTGTCCCCTACCAGCCTCCACGAGGGAGGCTTCTGAGCTGTCTGGGTCCCAGGACACTGCAGCCTTAAGAGGAGGGGGCTTGGTCCTTCTTCTCCTGCACACCACCAGGCTGCAGCAAGAGGCTCAGGACTGCAGAAGGTGCTGTGGGTCAGAGGAGGACGGGAGGGCAGGCCCTTTCCTCCAGTGAGCTCTCTCAGGTGTAAATGAGGCAGAAAACAGATGCGATGTTTCTCCCCAACTGGCATCTGTTGGGTCTGAGGCGGGGGCCGGTGATCCCAGCTACCTGTTACCCTCTGTCGGGGAGCTTCCAAAAATCCCACTCAACCCCAGTCTCTTACTGGGGTTGAGCCCTAGACTTCAGGACTTTCAAAAGCCCCTCCCCCCCATGCCAACACCTGACCACATGTGAGAACCAGCTTTTTCTGGACTTTCTGCTCAGGTGCACAGGCTGTTCACACTCTGATCCAAGCATCAAGGCTGGGGGCAAGGGGCTTCCCAAAAACCCGTATGTGAGGCCTGAGCCTGCCCTCCTTGCTTCTCCGTGTTGTGTTTGGGGGATATTGGATTAGAGGGAGTGTAGACTGGGGGAGAAGGGAGTGGGGCTGTGTTGTGGGAGTTCTCAGGCAAATACACACACATTCACACACACAAACATCCACCCTCAGAATGGGTCCTGATTGCATCTTCCCAAATAAGTGGTTATCATGCTGGTTATTCATGTAGCCATGCATTATTGATTGGCTTTCGCCTTGCTGCACACCAGATGGGGGCTAGCTGGGTGGGGGTAGGGGTGGGGTGGGTGGGGAGGGGAGGGGTGAGGAGTGAGGGTGTTTGGGGGGCCAGCCAGCTGAATAGAAATCAGCAGTCACTCCTGGCAGCTGTAGCTCAGATGGAAGGAGGGGTGCAATTCATTACCTCTCCATTCAGACTGGGGCCCGAGCAGGGGCCGGGGGAGGGAGGGAGCTGCGGAGCAGCCGGAGCAGTCGATGCATTATTCATGGATCCCCCTCCCAGGATTGGTTATTATCCTGAACCACTATAGAGTTCGGTCTCCTAATTTTTAATCACAAGGAAGGTGGAAGCGTTAGCCTTTTTGTGATTAATCCAGAGATAAAAATAGTTGACTGTTTTGGTGTTGTGCTTGTTGTCAATCAGGAAAAAAATTGCATTAACTATTGGCAGACTGAGGCCCAGGAAAAGGCCTGTTTGGAGCCCAGGCAGAGCCGGAAGCCAGTCTTAGGGGGCAGCACGAACCTACCTCTCCGAGCGGCTGGCATGGGTGAGAATCCAGCACCTGCCGCTCCTTGGGCATTGCTGATGAGAGACAATCGTGGCATGGAAGGCTCCAGCATGGCAGGGCACTCGGCTCTTTGCAGGTTGTTCTCTGTCATCAAAGACTAGGGCAGCAGCCAAGGGTCTCTCGCCCCACTCCACCCTTCCAACTACTGCCTGTGGTGGGCATCTGCCCCCTCCCATTGGAGGGGCAGCTCCGGAGGCCTTTCTCTGAGCTCTGCTGCTGGGGTCCGTGTGGGGAGTCTTGGGGCTGTGGGGCGGCATCACACAGTGGTGGTGCCCAGCACCAGCGAGCGGGGCAAAGAAGGACAGGGCAGGCTTGGCAGGAAAGCCCTGCCCCGGCTGGAAGGGAAATCTTTCCTTGGCTTTATGAATGAAGGTTCTCTCGCCTTTGTCATAAACAAGGTTTGCAGCTGAAAGCTGTCTGGCTGAAAGCCGCCCACGTCACAGCTGACTCTAAGGTGTGTTCCCAGGCAAGGCTCTGTTCTGGACTCTGGCACATGGCGAAGGCTCCCCGCCACCCCTGACACACACAGAACAGGGCTGGTTGGGGCTGGAGTGAAAGGCTCCAGTTCCACTCTGGGCTGCTGTCCACTCACCGCCTCTGTGCCCAGTTTGCATCAGGGTCCCTTGCTGTGCTGGTCTTGGTTTTTAAGATTGGCCAGTCTTGCCTGGGCAGCCTGAGAAACTTCTCCCGAGGCAGCACCAAGTTGTCACCCAAGGGACCCTGGCTGGGCTTCCAGGAACTGCTCAGCTGCTCCATCAGCGCAGATGGTTGGCACTGTGGACAGCCCATCTGGGACACAACTGCGAGTCAGCAGTGCTGGCACGGAAGGATCTTTTGCCCTGTGGCAGCTGGCGGGGCGGGAAGGCCAGCCGGGCCATCCTCCTGCCACAGCTGCATGGCAGGGAACCACCTCTGCAGGGCAAGGCTGTGTCCCCAAGGTCCTGGCCCACGAGCTTCCTGTGTGCTGTGTGGCCAGGACCCTGCCTGGGTGGGCCCTCGCCCTAGAATGGTCCTTCCTGTCTCTTTGCCCTCCTAGTTGCTTCCTGTCCTCCAAGCTGCAGCTTCAACATTCCCCCTTGCGCAGCCTTCGCTGACCATCCTGTGAGACGCAGCCTCTCAGGTCTTCCCATCAGCCCGGCTGTCTCATCTCCATCCCAGGCTGCATTTTTCATGTATCCCTCTTATTGGAAAGACCCCATCTTGGTCACAGCTTTGCCTAGATCAGTATCTGGCACATAGTAGGTGTTCAATAAATCTTTGTTAAATGAATAGATGGAATATTCCTCAGTGGGATGGGAGCACAGACACTAGCTTCCGGGTCAGCACTTTTTAGTGTGTGTGTGTGTGTGTGTGTGTGTGTGTGTGTGTGTTGTATTTTGGGGTGAGATGAATAAGTAGTGGGAGAATGGGGGACAAAAAGGAGGCCTATGGGGACTGCTGGTGTGGCACTGGGGCCCTTCTGGAGAGAGAGAAGCCTGTGAGAAGGGCTTCAGACTGAGGTAGATCTCAGTGTGTCACCTGTGGTGCCAGATCAGAGACGCTTGATTGTGTAAGCGACAGTGGGCGGTGGTTTGCGTGTCTTTGCTTTCGCAGTCCAGCCCCAAGCCAGCAGCTCTGAGGAGGCGCCGGGGCTGGCCGAGCTCTGCCCGGCATCCAAGAGTTGCCTGCGTGTCAGGAGAGCGGCCCTGGGGCCTCCAAGCTCGCACACCCTCCTGACTTCTGCATGCCAGCGCTGGGCCAAGTGGCTTCGTCTCCACTCCGGCACCCCGGGCATCTGCCCACCCAGCACGTCCCATGGTGCTGTCTGCGTGTGTGGTCTCTTCCTAGACCGTGACTTGGTCTGTCCTGCAGCTCTCCTCCTGGTGGGGCACCTGCTGTGCAGGGCGCAGCGTGGCTTGGACATTGGCCAGACTGAACCTGGCATGTGTCAGTGATTTTATGAGACATGTGATTATGGAT